TGATAGAATGTATACCATCATAAAATTTTGACTACACATCTGGGTTGACTGCCTTTTGCTTTTTCTGCATTCCTGGACATATGTTTCTCTAAATACAATGCCCATCAGTTTCTAATCACTTTGCCCTGGAGGCATCTGTAGCTTTCCATTTATTTATTCTCTAGAGGATGAATATCTTTAGTACCTAACATGACCCTCGCTGTGACCTGACTTGCAATGCAAGAACTTGTACTGAGGAAATTATGTGTTCTTCTAGTTCAATCGATGTCTTCTTTTGCTCTAACATGGCCAGCTGGAAACACTTTTAGAGAATGGATCCATTCAGAGGAAGAAGTGTTTGTACATTTAAATTGAGACAAGCTGCTCTTTAGGCACCAGATTTTAAATTGAACACTTGGGTTTGACTCTATTAGTCTGATGGGTTGAAAGTATTCTTTTTATTGCTATAGCCCTTTCAGTAGATGTATTTATGCAAGACCCAGCCTATATTGTAACCAGAACCACAGCTTTGAATGGTATTTTTCAACTATTTGAGGACAGAAACAGAAATTTTAAAAAAAAATAATAATAATCTGAAGTCCAGATGCACAACTACTAAGGAGATAAAGAATTCTCTTTCAACCTAACAAACTTTAATGAATGATCTGAAATGTGGTCCAGCAAAAAAATCATTGAATATTTTAGATATCCAAGCAAAGTAGTCACAACACCAAGAACCCCACTCAGTTTTTAAGAGACAGTGGTCCAGAAGATAGCTAGCAGGACTGGAGTCGTGAACAGATCAACCAAACTTCTTTTTAGCTACAGCACTGGACTTGGGAAAATATATTTCCACTTACCTGTATGATATCTGTTTTAGGACTTTGGCCTTCCCATACTGATGCTTTGTAATAGCTTTGCTCAAATTTAGGTACATTGTCATTCACATCTTGAATCAAAATGGTCACTCCACAGAGTGCTGAATTCAAGCTACTTTCAGCCAAAACTGAAAGATGTATCTTATTTTTAACTTCATAATCAAGAGACTTTGGCTCTTTTACTGTGATTGCACCTGGTTTATTAAAAAAAAATTAAATCAAGATGAGACTTATGTAGTCAGGAAAATACACCCACAAATGCAGTTATGAAATTTCTAATGTTTGTGGTCTCCTTTGCTGAACATGTGACAGAACTGCAACAAGCTTCCCACTGCGTCCTTCCTCTGCCTAACATCACCCCCTGCATGCCAGTTATTGTACAAATCTCAGACAGCTCAGTTTTCACTAATCAACCACCGCATGGGCAATTTCCTAAAACAAAGCTGATTTACTTGCACAGGGATAGAGAGGAAGAAAGTAGCAGTGTGACATAAGCTCCCTGACGTGTGACAATGAGCCAGCTGTGTCTGAAGAGACCCTTCTGGCCTCATCTGAGAGTGGCTATATCTAGCCCCACATCTGTATCCAAATCAGGCAAGAGCCATATCAATTTTTGTATCTGACTGACATAGAGGTAAAACACTGACTCCTTCTGATGCAGTGAGCGTCCATGTCCTGCGTCCCCATTATTCTGTCAAAAATAATCAGTGAAAATTATTGAGACTACATGCACAACTAGAAATCTCCACATTAAACATGAAATGTCCTTGGAACAATGACCATGGTTTTCTAATGTTCTAGGTAATATAGTAATATACTTAAAATTCTTATAGAATCATTTAGGTTGGAAAGGACGTTTAAGATCTTCGAGTCCAACCATTAACCTAACACTGCCAAGTCTTTGCTAAACCATGTCCCCAAGCACCATGTCTACACATCTTTTAAATACCTCCAGGGATGGTGACTCAACCACTTCCCTGGGCAGCCTGTTCCAATGCTTGACAAGCCTTTTAGTGAATAAATTTTGCAATTTGAGGCTGCTTACGTTTGTCTTATTGCTTGTTACTTGGAGACCGACACCCACCTCGCCACAACCTCCTTGCAGGTAGTTGTAGAGATTGTTAAGATCTCCCCTCCACGTTCATTACATCTAAACATCAGTTCATTTCATTAGAATTCAAATTCAGTTTTGCATAGATTTTTCAGTAATGACGCCATAAATATTTATACCCCAAACCTGTGATAGCATAAGGACCCATTTACTTCGCCTCTCCAAGGCAGTGCTTTTTAGTTTTTATTTTCCAAGATAAGCAGCAATGATTGGCTGTTGGTTATAGATCTGTCAAGTGTTCAAGAATTGCGTCAACATAAAGATTTCAAAGCTGACAGGTGTTCTCTCTTCAGCACAACCCTTACAAATTATCACATTCTGTACACAGTAAAAGCAAAATAGTGGCAGAAGGAATACACTTCAGGATGACAGAGAGCAGCTGAAAGACTCTAGTGTAGAGTAGAGCAAATAATCATTTTTGAGGTACATCACCCAGAAGGAACAAGTGAAAGAACCAGAATTGCTCATTCTAGAGAAGTGTACACGAAGAAGAAACAGAATAACAGTCTTCAAATATGTAAAGAATAGATTTTCTGCCTCTGCCTTATGTCCACTGTTACTAAGTTAAGAAGTAACAAATTTAACTTGTTTCAACAAACATTCAGATAAATAAAAACTTTCCAACTCCAAAGACTTGTACGGACTATTGAGAGGGTTTGCAGAATCGTTATCACTGGAGGTTTTTAAGAACATGATAGACAAACTTCTGACAGATTTAGGCAGAGCTGATTCCCCTTCTGTATCAGAAGACAGACTAGCTCAGGTCTTTCGTCACTTCATACTATACTTCATATGATTTGATGATAAATCCCCCTAGAATGCGAGAAAGTCTTCTCCAAAATGGCATTAATTAACATCAGAGCTTGAAAAGATAAACAGAGTAGACCTTTGGCTGGTTAGAATACCTAAGATAGAAAGGGCATCAATGTAGTTCAAAATACTTCTACTGCTGTAGAAACAACGGGTAGAGAGTTACTGGTGTCAAAATTAATGCTGAGGTAAGAACTGCTCTTAAAAAGTCCTGGAAGGCTTCACTTCAATTAATGTTTTCTAAGAAACAGAAGAAAGGTTGCAGAACAAAAGAAACAGAAGAAACCACAATGGCTCAAATATCTCAAAATAAGACTTGTAACATCCACTGCTACAGAAACTCCACTATTGTCTGTGAAGAGAGTGCTTATGACACTCTTAAAAACATCAGTAACCACTTTTCATTTGATTTTTTTTTTTTCTGTTGGTGATACTTGAGAAGATTCACTTTCTTGGGGATAAACGTGACTGGGTCCAAGATGTTTTTTAAGACTAATCTTTCTAGCTTTATTTCAGTGAAACAAGGAGGACTTGGAAATCAACCACATGCACTTTAAGTGCCCCTCATCTAAATGAAACAAAACATTTTTAAGTGTCCATCAGCATCAAACATGATAGCTTTACAGAAGTACGCCACTTAATGCTTGGAGACATCAGAATAATTAACAATTGAAGCCTCCAGGAACTCAGGGGAAAAGCCATTTGTTAAGAGTACAACCTATTTACACTATTTCTGAGAAAACTGCTTACACTATGTCATCCCAGAAAGACTACAGCTATTCAGAAGGCAAACTCTTTTGTTGCAGATGTAACCATAGAATTATAAAATCACAAAATGGCTAGGGTTGGAAAGGACCTCAAAGATCATCCAGTTCCAACCCCCCTGCCACAGGCAGAGACACCTCCCACCAGACCAGGTTGCTCAAAGCCTCATCCAGCCTGGCCTTGAACCCCTCCAGGGATGGGGCATCCACAGCTTCTCTGGGCAACCTGGGCCACTGCCTCACCACCCTCACAGTGAAAAATTTCTTCCTAATGTCTAGTCTAAATCTACCCTCTTTCAGATTATAACCAGAGCAGCTATGGTCTCTTATGCTCCTTAGATGAGAGCACACGCTGCTCTCCTGCCATCAGAAGCTCCTGACTGAAGAGCAAGTGAAAGCAGACCTGCTGCAGAATGCAAAAACAATCACCAAAAAAATAAGCAAACTTGATTTTCAGACTTGTCAAGGTTTGCCTGAAACAAAGTCTTAAACTCAGCGAGGGTCTAATGCCTCCTGTCTTACGACTGTTTTGAAGGATTATGTTTATTATGTTTTTTGGGCAGCTTTATGATGAGAAACAAGATGGAGTCTCAGCTTGGATCACAAAGCAATAGTTTATCAACTTCCAACACCCGGTGACCAATAGTTAATCAGAACTGAGTGTTTTAAACAGCTGTACTCGTGTTCAATTTCTTTCCACATCAAGTTTACAATAGTGCAGGTGTCTCCCCATCACTGGTTTTAGTAATGATTTATTCATTGTAACAGGAGAGTAATACTCTAAGATATCTACCCCTTGTTCTTGTGGTAGGAACTTGCTCTATTTTAGAGACCACACTCTTTAAGCTGCACACAGACACTTGAGAAAAATATGTACTTATAAAATGTACCTGTAGTGGAGTGTATGGAGAATATGCTTTCCTTGTCACTGAAGATGCTGTACTTTATGTTTTCTCCTGTAAATTTGCGTTCATAAGCTTCTACAGTTAGAAGTGATGTGCCTACAGAAGTAATAAGACAACGTTCTCATCATGTCCACTTTAGAAGGTTTTATTCTCATTTTATATTACTGTGATTAATAGCAGATGCACAGCCAAACACCTACGTACTAGGCTAGGTGTTTTTTCATGAATTAAAATAGTAAACAATGAAAACAACTCCTCTACGACTCACTGCATTACAACTTCATAGGCAAGGCACTGTCTATCCCTCCTTGCCCAGTAAATTACTCATCCAATCACAATTTCATCACTTGCCTAAGTAAAATGATGAGTTTTAATTTTTCCTAATTGCAAACTCCCATGTACCACTGCAATTACCTCTTACCTGAAGTTGTATGTATTCCTTTTATTTAGGTTACGCTGTCTTTGGTCATTTAAATCTCACCTTTTCATGAATTCTTTTAAAGGTAAATAGTCCTTTTTTTTTTTTTTTGCACATCATAGGAACGTATGATACCCTTGAATCACCATAAAGAGGGTTTTTTTTCCCCTTCATTTATTGGAATTCAATCTCAATTTTTGTACAATATTTTAAATGAAATAATCTTAATTTTAATTAGCCATCTTCTGACAGAGAGAATGAAAAGATGAAACTACATGCATAGCTACATGTCAGTTCAAGCAGAATCCAAATTCAATGAAAAGCGCAATGATTTAATGTAGAATACAAGACACATGAAATAAAAATCAAAAATGTGGAACTGAACACATTATCCTGCACGAAATCATCACGTTTAACAAAAACGTGCTGAGTTTAAAAAGCATTATCAAGATTTCCAAACAACTATTCTTTTCAAGTGAGTTACTAAATCGTTTGGCATACACAGCAGTTGATTTTAATGTATTTTAACTATTTAATTGTGACTGATCCCATGCAGCTGTGACGGAATGAGGTTAGTGTGCAACCTGAACTCTTCCAAACAGCATTACAGACAACTAGCTATTTTCTTACATTACAAAGGGCATGCTGTTCACCCTCAGTGTCCTGGATGTCAGAGGAAGGGACTTCATCTTTAGTGTGAAAATGAGAAGAAATGTTGCTCTTCAACTATCTGTTACCTTTTTTATTTTAGCATTGTTGCTTTTTAATTTTTAAAACCAGGAAATTTTGTCTGTCATTTGCTCCTAAAACCTGACTGTCAAAAGCAAAACTATGCCGATCTTGACAGATACTAGTCAATAGATTTGTATGATGCTTACTAGAAGAGTTCTGGAAGTAAGATCCAATCATTCAATATGTAAAGACTGATATGAATGCTGCACTGTTGGGTTTTTTTAGCAACTAAAATAAGGGGTTGTAGGTTGAATTTTCATTGCCAGGCAACTTTGATTTACTACAAAAGCCTGCAAGGGCAATCATTCACAGCATCCTCAGAGCAGAGTTAAAGATAAGAAAAAAATTCAAGGTCCTAAGAATGTCACTATTTATCTTCTAATGCTGTCAGAAGCCTTTTTTATTTCTTTGCTTGAATGTTTATGAAGAAAAACTACCAGAAATAAAGGAAGCAGCAGCATTTCTACTTCAATCCTTGTTTTTCAGGGGTTAGGTTAATAAATGCTTGCTTTGGGTCCTCAAATCCTAATCCTTTAAGTTTCGTATTTTTCATGTAGTTAAAATTGTTTACAACATCCTTTTGTCAGACAAAAATTTCTTCTCTTTCTGACACCTTTCACAGAGAATAAGTCATTCAAACAGTGAATTTTTACAGTTCATTGTCAAAAAAATATGACCAAACTCTGAGGTCTGTTGAGACACAAACAGGCCCTATACAGGGAAAAACCAAAGCCAGTACCCATCCCCTGGAGCTCACAATTTCAATTTCTGGCTGCAAAGCACACTGAAATGGCACGATGAGTGTAAGACCAGCATTGAAGCTAGTGCAAGGAGGGCAGGAGATCAGGATGACAGCAGAAAGCAGTCAGATTGGCTTGAAAAGCTGTACAATCAACTTCTGAATTAGTTAAGAATAGTAAGGGAAGAGTGATTGAAAATGTCTATATTTAGAGTTTTTTTCAGTTCAATCACCACTCGATTGCATTTGAAAGTACCTCAAGCTGCTTTACATAGCCTACACACCAACCTTTACACTATGCCTGACGGCTCAAAACTGAAGCATGGCAGCATGGACAGCGTTTGCCTACCTGGCCAAATAGGCTCCAAAACACATGCTGTATTCTGTATTAGGACATAACATATACACCAGAACTAAGCCACTCTATCACCATATCAGTTTTTTCTTCTCTCTTCTGTACTCATTTCCCCTTAGTCTCTTCTCCCCTCCTTTGTCATCTAACCCAGGTTCATCCTTGTCATTATTTCTGGAGACCTCTTATCGCTCATGAAAGAAAAAGCTAACTGAGCACAAAGAGGAAGAGGCACAGAATAAGAGGCTACACATTTTCTATCTATTAGGAAAAAAACAGAGGAGTCAACAAGTTTTACTGGTGAATCTGTCTCCAGGGAAGTGTTATGCAAACAACCATTCAAGTGGAAGCTTGGTGAATAATAAACGTTTCTTACCCTCAGGAGACTGCAGTGACTTGATTATTTATTGACTGGCTTCTAAGTGCCTGTTGTAACGCAGTTTATAATATTTAAAGACCTTAAATATTCAATATTAAACAAAAAATAGAAGAACGGGGTTTTCTGAAGGTCACCAAACTTGGAGGCCAAACACTTGAAGAAAATCTGACCACAAGGACTAATTCCTGAGGCACTCACCCAATTGACTAGTTTAGACTACATTAAAACTAAGGACCCTTGGCTTTGGCTTTTGTCGTTTATGCTATTCAGATTTCTTGATTCTTTTAAAAATAAATGTAGAATTTTCCCACTCTATTAGTGAAGGTACAAATAAAATTAGGAGGAAAAGCCACATTTATTAATGCCAGTTCTACAAATAATCAGTACGTAACATAAATCTCCCCTGGACTGAATACACTGGTTCCATTCATATTTGAAGGGGTCCCAGGATCACATATATCCTGTAAGCCAACTTCTATGAGAGTTTTAATTATAATCATGCTTTTTTCCCACTGAAATGTAAAATATTTGATATTTACTTATGCTTATATAAATAAGAAAATACTAAAACCAGAGCCAAAACAGTATTAGTTTTTGTAAAATCTCTCATACTCTTAAAAGAATTTGATCTTCTTAGCAAATAGGCTTTTATTAAATACACAAACTAACATTTTGGGATGAAACCCTCCTGTTTACCCTGAAGCTTTGCTGAATTTCCTTTAATCAAAACAACTTAAATTGAATCTTATTTATATTTTCTATCGACTGAAGAGGAAAATGTGACTATGACATTCTGATACCACAGCTCCTTGGGGTATTTCTGTAATTTCTGCCTGGATTGTCCATCCTGACCCAGGAATGTATCCACTCTTAGGAAAATCTAAGATCAGATCAGTTTATCTATTGCCATAAAGCTCTGATTTTTATTTTCTTTTTTTAAACCTAACAAAACCTATCTTCCTTCTTATTTTTCTTAACTAGAAAGAAATTTTAATGCAGAATTAATGCAGGTTAATCCTATCTCTCCTGAAAAGACCAAAACCTCGGGGCTTTGACCTTACTCCTCTGGGAAGCCTGACAAACAGGTTCTCACAACACCTTTTAAAAATACAAGCCTGCTGCAGCAAGGCAGAGACAAAATCGAGAGCCCAGAGCTCACCTCTGGAAACACCCTGGTCTCTCCACTTTCTGGACAACTAGGATTGAGGACTCCCATACATCACCACAATTGACTCTCCATGGATAGACCAGTGAAAGGACAGAACACGAGAGATTAACACACACTGCTTGACATCCAAACTGTGTCTTCTGGAAGCAGCAATTCCCGCAGGGCAGACTCTCCTTTGCAAAACGGCACAGGACTAATTACTGTACAGTGCTGACTCTAGTAGAACAGGGCTTGGAGACCTCAGGGTATGTGAGACTCGCATTCACAGAAAAATTCAGTTTTAGGGTGCCCAAAACTGCTTGTAAATCCTGGTCAAATTTATGGAATAAAACACGTTTTTAAAGTGTCAGGACAAATGTCTTCAGGGATTTGGGATTTTGGTTTTGGCGCGCTTTTTTTTTCTGCGTTTGTAGTAGAAACAATAAATTAAACACTGGTTTAAAAAAGAAAATTGAACACTAAAGAACTTCTTATCCCACAGGTTCTGTACTCAGACTTCTCAGTATGGAGCAAAAGGGAAATAAAGGAGACTGAATCTACACCTTCCATATCTCAGGAGTGTGAGTGCTTAAACCACCAGGCTACTCCATGCTCCAAATTGGAAGCCTTCCACTGTTTTTTGACAGACAGTGAGAGAGCTAGAAGGAGGCTCCAGTTCAGTGGTTTGATCACTCATCACAACTTTTAAAAAATAGCCTGAAACTAAAATATTTAATCTATGGTTAAATAAAAAGTAAATTAAAATTATTTTTAATAAGACCTTATTAATTTTATTTTTCAGTTAAAAATAGCCTGAAACCAAAATATTTAATCTATGGTTAAACAAAAAGTCGATTAAAATTATTTTAAATAAGACCTTATTAATTTTATTTTTCAGTAAGACCTTATTGCCTATTTTCAATCTGTTAATTGAAACACCAGTAATATTCATTGCATTATCTCTACCTTAAAATACACTGCTGAAAATTTGGCTTGTAGTCTCGAATAGCAACAGAGGAAGGAATGGCTGTGCAATCACAGCAGTAACTACTCCAACAGCCACCTTCACCCTTAGTTCTCTATTCTGTTTTTAATTATCCAAGAGTATTGATTGGTTTTCCAGAATTATTAACACATTTCTTTTTTACTGATTCCTAATCAAATACATAGGCTGCTACTCAAGATCTAAGAATATACTAGTCTCACGACACCCTTAGGATATAAAGGAATATTGCTTTCATTTTACTGAGGGCAATTTGAACTATAAAGAGGATAAATGACTTGTTCAAGGTGAACGTCATGAGGCACTATCAAGAATATAGTGCAGGTCAGATCTCTAAATATGTCTAGTCAATTGTACAGTGGATTTGTGGGCAGAAAAACGTAGAAGGCACTCCCTTCTGCTCTCACTGGGATGAACCCATCCCCTGAAGCAGGAAAAGGTACTTACCTTATCTAACTGGCAGGAGGCATCACTGCAAATACTCTCTGAATTACAAAAAGTAGAGCAGTAATTTTCATCATGATACCAAACAAAAACAAATAAATCTGTAAGCACCTTGTGATTTAAGCCGGTTTGTCTATAGGTAGCATTCAATAGCACAGGCTCTACCTAGAGCTACACTGTATCTGAGTGACAATGTACCACAGTCTCCAAACTTCTCACCCCTTCGCCCCAACACTACCATTCATTCTCCTTCTCCCGGAAAGTTCAAAACTTCAGAAAGATTTTAGAGTACCTCTGAAAGCTACTTCAGTTCAGGAAGGGTTTTGCAAAAACAAGGAATGTCATACTGCAACAGGCACACACCACTCATCTGAGCTTGTGTGCACTGACAAGTAAAATAATGAGTAAATGCTGTCCACCAAAAGTTATTTTGCTAGAAGAGCAAACCTGCTGCTGATACTCAGGGCTTCCCACGCTGAGGGGTGGAAACACACCACCTTTGGCAAAGGAGATTTCTGTTTAATACGAGCAACACTGTTATAGGTGGGCAGCAAACTCAAGAGACAAGCAATGCCTACAACTAACAGAGCATGATTCTTTTTTCACTCTGGTGAACTGGAAAAGGGCAGATGGGTATTTTCTTCATCTAAATCCACTTTTCTCTGCTGTTGCACAGCAGCTGACTATTCATTACAATTACCATTCCAGAAGGAGGGGAAATTGGCAACTGCAAGAACACAAATTGGGAGTTGATGCCCACCTGCTGCACTGTTCTCAGGCACACTTGCTTCATACAGGCTATGGCTGAATGAAATCTCCTCCTCATGTTCCTCTGTAAAGATAATGAGCATAGCTGTGGCTGTTCGAGGTGGGATGCCTTGATCTGAAGCCATCACTAGCAGCTGAGTACTGAAGTCCTTGGAAGACAAAGGCTCCTGAAGAATGATGTCACCTGTCTTCGTGTTGATCTGAAATACAGTTTTCGCTGTCATCAAACTATAGACAACAGCTCCATTTGGCCCCAGATCCATGTCCTCTGCTCTCACAGTGGCTACTGTCTCATTCACAGCTGTTTCAGCAGGCACAAAGGCCCTGATAGGATTCTGCAAAAAAATGGGATCATTGTCATTGACATCATCAACGTGCACCACAACACTGACAGTGGTGCTTCTTGGCAAATGGGTGCTACAGTCACTTGCCACAACCCGAAATGTATACTGGGATTTGGTCTCCCGGTCCAGTGCCTTTGTAGTAACTATAGACCCCGTTACACTGTCAATAGCAAATGCTCCGAAGGTATCATCAACCAGGGAGTACGTAACTTCGCCATTCAGGCCATCATCTTCGTCAGAAGCAAAGAGGTCCAGGACGGCTGAGCCTTCCTCTAGGTCTTCTCTCACGGATGTTTGATACTGGGTCTTTGCAAACAATGGGTTATGGTCATTTTCATCCAAGACTGTTAGATAGAGCTGTGCAGTGGAGCTTCTTGAGGGACTGCCTAGGTCATGGCACTCAATTACAAGAGTGAAATTGCTGACGTCTTCTCTGTCTAAACTATGAGTGACCAGCAGTTTTCCTGAGGTGTTATTTAGTGTGAAGTATTCGCCAACATTTCCACCTTTCAAACACATAAAATAAAAAAATGATCACAAACAATTGCTTTCGAAAAAAGAACCCCTTGCGAATACTGCTATGTTAATTGCAATAACATGATCAAATTGCTCATACAGCTGGTGTGCTCATGTGACTTTGCATATTTTATTAATCTTATATGAATTAAAACCTGCATTTCATTTAGATCAGTGGGTGGCAATGACAGTAAATACAGAACATCATATCAATTTACAGAGTGGCTATTTTGCCAGATGCATGTCTTTTTTCCCAAAGCAGCACACCTTATAAAATCTCCTGCAACTATGCTGCTGCACAAAATGACCTCTCCCCAACCTTACTTACAAATTCCAGAAACCTATAAAGCATTGCTGACAATTGTAATTACTTGTTCCTTGTCCTCTTCTGTATACCTGTCACTTGGAAGTGAATAGTTGTGCAAGGTCTTGATTTGGGGGTGTGGGGAGGGGGAGGTAATATGAAACAGTCAACAGAAAAGTCAGCGCTTTTAGTAACAGTGGCACACATACTTTATAACGTGTAGAAAGACCAAAGGTAATTAAATTAAAGATCATAAAAGATCATTAAATTAAAACCAAGAAAACATAAAGGAATTCATAACTGTTTCTTCAAAGAAAAATGCGTTGTCTGTTACCACAGTAGCTATCTGCCTACATTTGAACCATTGCTGAGAGCCACAGACCAAAGTAAGCACAGCAAACTTGTATTTGTGCAAAGATATTACTGCAGGCTTTGAACAGCTGCGGAGCTTACATTGACATAGTGGACACAGTGAGAGTTTGCAATATGAAAACCAAGTATGACACTACTAATTGCTGGGTGAAAGAAGCTCCCATGAAATAAAATTAAATAAATAAAATTATATTAGTTCTTGTACTTATTTGCAAGGGTGTATTTACATTCAGAACTTCCACAACTATAACAAAAGGGACAAAATTATGCCTTTGCGATTAATGTCTCCTTCCAGCATTTGCTATTTTTTTTCTTTTCTATACTATTTCAAACCCAGAAAGCAGACTGAAAGTTTGCCTGCAAAGTGCTTATTAATGCCGGCAAAGAGGTGAAAGATCTTTCCCCCCCCATAAAAGAAGCATGTGGACAAGATGGGAAGCCTGGTAAAATCAAGACTAGTCTAAAACTTGGACACCACTGTTTATATACTTCCTGATTCAAACTAACAAAAATGATGGAGTGTAACTTACCAATTATTTTGTATCTTAGAGCTCCGTTATTGCCAGCATCCATATCCACAGCCCGGGTAACGTGAATGACAGAAGGCTGCTGGTTCTCTGGAATACGGATCTCAGAGGCGGGAAGAAGAAATGTGGGAGAGTGATCATTTTCATCCAGCACTCTGCAGATAACTGTCACCGTGCTTGACAGTGATGGGGTTCCACTATCTCGAACCAAAACTAAGATTAATAAAAAGAAAATAAATTTTATACAGTGGTTGTGGGTGTAACAATAGATACTTCTTAATAATATCAGAATAGCAGAGTTATTTGTGCTATGCAAAAAGCATGTGCTCTTCTGTTCCTGAAAACCTTACCATTTCCATCTAATTCAGATAAAATAAAAAAGGTAACACTGATGGTAACACCACACCCATTCTCACTTCCCATTTTACAGGAGCCCATAGGTATTTCACACTGTTACCTTTAATACTGAAAACCTCCTGGGTTTCCCTGTCCAGTGAGGCAGTTGTTCTGACTTCTCCACTGTCAGAGTTCATCCTGAATTTCTCATAACCGGCTCCTGGTAAGATTTCATACTGAAGCAAGGAATTCAGTCCTTAAAAGCAGAATGGAAGTCTTAGTAAGACACAGCCACTCTCCTCACATTCAGGTCTACAGATTTATCTCTTTCTTCTATACCTCCCCAACCTGGGAAATGGGTTATGGCTGAAATTATTATTTTTAATGCAATGAATGACTGCTTCTTCATTAACACAAAAGTCTTGTCCAGCTGCTGCTTTGTGCCTAAGTTTTTTAGCCACTCAAAGTGACCCCAGCAACATTTCTTGGCACTTAAGCCATGTCTCCAAACAAGCTGACGTATCAACATGGTGCAAGAGAGCATTAACTTAAGACCATGGAATGCACGTATTTGTCTTCTGCCCTCCCTGAGGTAGTTAATTTATGTCTGAACAGGATGTCCGGCAGAGTACCGGGCTGCTCGGTAGCTCTGGTTCTCCACTTAACTTCACTTGGAGCCAATACAAGTATCTCTGTACAGTACGACACTAAATAGTAGAAACATTCAGAGAAAACATCCACTTCTTGGCATGCCCACCAGTTCTAAATATTCGTAATACCGAGCAGGCAGGTGTCTAAGTCCCATCAGGACTCACAGGGTGGCCAGCTCCTAGTTGTCTTCAACAGAAAAGCCAATTTGGTGGACATTCCCACAGCCCATCTCAGGCCTTCTAGGCAGCTCCCGCTTGCAGCCAACTCTGAAATGATACCGCTTGGTTTCAGAAAGTCATGCAGGATTTCCAGAAAGAAGGGTTAAAGATTTTCCCTTCCTCAAAGTTTTTCTGAATGCCAATTCCATTCAGTTCCTCTTTAGACCCACCATTTGTGTACAGTATAGGGATATTAGTCTTCTTGTCTTTCTCTAGGAAATAGTAGGCTAAAATTGTACAGGCCTTTAAAAACCTTTCTTTCAAAGCTGCCCACCTGCATTGAACAAGAAATGTGACTCCACATTCTTACCTATTATGGTTATAAAATAATGTCTTTCATATTTCTTCTAGTTTCAACACCCTCCTGAGGAAGATATAATGTAATCTCCACCACAGACATATTATTAACTTTAATAAGTTTAATCCTACATTCTACTTGAAGGGCTTATACTATTGTGCTTTTGGTTTCTTGTTTTTTCAAAATTTTGCAAGTTTCATTCAATCATTCTGTGTTTTTTTTTCAACTAACAATCAGCCTTTTAGTAGTACAGGTACAGTCAGTGCACCTGGAAAGCTCCAGCACTCCTCGTCATACCAAAAACTGCTGCTCAGAGCTAAACACTGCCTGACTGTTCCCATCTGCTGCAGTAGCAAACAGGACAATCTGCACTGGAGTTGGTGGAGAAACACCAGTGTGAGAAAAGAAACAGAGCATACAGTTTTCAGCATCCATGACTTCTTTTGTTTGCCTTTGAATAGCTTTGCTAAATTGTTGACAATGCTACTGAAATTTCATTGAAAGAATTATTACTGTAAATGCATTTGTACCTAAACTGCGTTCAGGGAGGGACATATACACATGAGTAAATAGCAGAAGGAAAATGAAGTATATAAATCCTTCCAGCCTTCCAGAAGAAAGGAGAAAAATCACAGCAGTAAGGACAATCAAAGAGAATATATTGAAAATTTAAGGTTACCAACACAGACTATCTGATCTGCCCATATTAGATACCATTCAACTACATTTAAGAAGATAGTTTCAGGTCTGTCTTCATTCATCTATCCTTAATCACCCATATACTACAGATGGAAAAAACGACACACGACACTGCAGGGCTGATATTAACTATTAGCCTTTGATCTGCAGCTGAACTGCTTCAACCCAGTGCGTTCACCGGCAGATTCCACAATGGACATTATCTACAGACACTGCTGAAAAAGCACATGCGTGCCATCCAACGTGACTATTCACACGCTGTTGAAATTAAAACTTTTAACCCTTAAAGCACACAGATATGAAACACCCTCACTACATTTATTTCCCAAGTACTTACTGCCTCCTTTCTCATATCCAGCTGCTAGGAGTGTACACCTAGGAGTAGGAGAAAGCTGCACACCCTGCCCAAGAGAGGAGCATGATGACTCCACACATTCACACACCATGGCACAGCAGCTGACACGTTTGCACTTGACAGTGCAGTAGTGCCAGTCACATTTTGAGGGGTGAAATTACAAACTGAAATGAGAAATTAACTATTCCTCCTGCACTTTATGAGCTGGAAGAGGAGCTAAGCCCCTTCCTTGCCACCAGCCAGTGGCAGGGACCCCCTTCCCCGCAGACCAAATGGCAGGGTGGATGCATGGTGCCCAAGCTGCAGCCAGGGAAAAGCTTCAGCCCCTTTCCCATTCCTCCACCACAGCATGGGCAGCCCCTGTGCTTCCACAGCTTCTTGGAAGCAGCAGCCAGGGCATTACACCATGGATATGCCTAGTGCCAATGCTGGTGAAGCAGCCACGGAAACAAATGCTGCCACCTCAAATCTAGGCTCAAGTTTCATCTTTATAATACTAGTGTTGTAAAGACCATGACAATCCATGAATATGAGCAAGACAAAATGCCTAGTGAATAGCAGTAAGCCCCATCTCGTAACTCTAAGTCAGAGGTCCCTATTAACCTTCCGAGATTTTTCCCCTAAGGCTCCAGACATAACTACTAGCCCAGCAAGGTGCACATCAGCTTAAAAGCAGACCTTGACAAATGCTAGTTCAGTTCATTCAGAGCTCCTGCAAAGACAGATCTCCAGACAAACCCATGACCTATCTTACATATGTTGCAGGCACATTTGCTTTCCCGTGCATTTTTTTTTCCCCAGGATTTACTGGTATTACGCATGTCTTTGCACTTGTATTTGCATGGGTATTTACTCACGATGTCAGCCTTGGGTGAGGCAGAAAGCTCCCACAGTGTACAAGGACTTAAAGAAAGCGAGGCAACAAAGAGTTGCAGTAACTGCAGCTCTTGTAATGTGCAGGAGGGAGTCAGCTGAACAAGAAGTTTTATGGATATGCACATGAAAGAAAACCATTACAAGGAAAAATTTTAGTAGTTATTTCCAGAAAAAGACCTTTTGAAGTGGAAGCAAGCTTAAAGGTTGGGCCAAACACAAAGATGGTGACAGCTGCTTGACTTCCCTCTTCTCTTTGCAGGGAAAGTAGTAGAAAGACAAATAAAACAAAAAGTTGATGATGGCTACAATTGTCAGTAAAAATTATTCCTCCCTGTGGTCAGTCAGGGAACATATGAAGTGGAAAAAAAATAATTCTGTGATGGGAGGAATATTACTGGGATATGAACAGTAATTTAAAGAGCAAATAAAAATAATGTAAAAAATGTGACGTAAAAAATAAAGGACACCATGAGGGGAGTTGTCTTACCCAAAAAATCTGTTCCAAAAAACATAAGAAAAGGGAATAGTGTTATATTTATATGACTCCTATATAAATCCTGTTTTCTTACATTATGAGCATCACTTCAGTATTTGTTTGGAATAATACTGTAACATGCATATGACATGAGGCCAAATAATGCAAATGTGACAAAAAGACCCAACAGAAGAACTGTGGTTACTGGAAAATGTATTTTAAAATTTTTTTTTAAAGCAGGAAGGAACCATTGGCCACAACAGTGCTCCAGCCCAAAGTGTCTGCACAGGCAGGCGCACACTGTGCCACCCAGTGCGCTTGGAATGCCTGTCCCCTTCGCTCTGCCAAGCCACCCCTGTTCTCCCCTCCCAATGATTCCCACAATTTCCCTTCTGCTGTATTTCCCACAATTTCCCTTCTGCTGTATTTCCCACAAGATGTGCAATAAATAAATATAAGGGATGGAGAAAGGAGGGAGAGGAATTCAAACAAATTCCCACTTCTGCTATCTTGCAAATTTTTACTTCAAAGACTGCCTTTTTTTTTTTTTTTATGGTTGTGATCCACAGAAGAAAGAAAATACTTGTAAGAGCGACATACAGAGGTAGAATATAACACAGCTCAGCTGTCACAGGCATTTTCATAGACAGGACTACCCACCCATTCCTAATTTCTAAATACTTTACATACTTGTGGGAGAATGTCTCTTCTATAGAGCACCTCTCCTGAGCATCAGCCTTTTTTAATGAATACGCGCTCTACATTAAAATAACAAATCTTACTGAATAGAGAAAATTATTTTGCTAACAAGACTTATTGTTTTATCTATTTTTTGGATAGAGCAACCTTAAACAATTCTAAAGATGTGCAGAAAGTGAACCCACAGTAAAAAAAAAAGTAATTCACAGAGTTGAGACAACCTTTGGGCCTATTGCAGCAGTACTGTAATATTTAATTCTCTTTACAGATTTCATCTTTACTGTAGATCGCAGACTCTGAGTAACTGCTTCATGTTACACCAACTGTATGCCCTGTGGGTGGTATTACTTAAGACACAATCCTCTCCGGCACACAGGCTACCTGTAACATCATATGCATTTTAGATATTTCAAAAGAGCAGGTAGTTAAAGAACTGGGGGAAATTTTTTGTTGCTCAGCAAAGACCCTCTCACGTTTACTCCTTGCCTGTGATTCAGAGAGCAGAGGAACCACCCCTTCTTACTTATTCATTGTGTACGTTCAAAAAGCAATGCATTAACATTCTTGTGTATGGAAAATCATATTTGAAATCCAGAGCGGCTTCAACGATCCCTCCACAGCTCAACTAGCTGGAAAATGTTGGGTGACAGTGCCCCTCTCTGGTCAGAAAAGATGAGTGCATATTGCCGGGTCTGTTACAAAACCAGGACCATTGGCTAATCAACTATTTAAAACTATTCAGAATGTTCAGATTGAGAGAAACAAAATGTTCAACTATTAACTTTAATCGAGTTGAACATTGTTGGCTGATTTATAACCAGAGCACATTGACTATTTTCACATGAAAGCTACAGTACACTGAGCTACTCTGCATCACCCAAGTGCACATTTTACATTTAATACACCAGTCAGAGCTGAAGCTGGCTGAGCACGAGTCATGATACCTCCAAGCCCTGAATAAAGGTTGAGAGTCTGAACCAACAGCCATGTTTTGAAACTCAAAACTATACATTACCTGTGAAAAAGCACAATGACTGTACACACAAGTACAGCAGGCAGCAAGATTTGATCAGTTTACTATGGTCCACAATGAAATGAATAGTGAAAAGACAGAAATTACCTGCATCTCTGTCCACAGCTTCCACCTTTATGACAAACTCCCCTGGATCTTGGTTTTCATGAACGGCAGTCTCGTAAAGTTGCTTCAGAAATGTTGGTCGCTCATCGTTCACATCAAGAACAATGATGGTCAGAACCTGCATGGCAGAGAGAGCTGGGCTGCCGTCATCAAGAGCCATCACTGTCAAACTGTAGTGCTCCTGAATCTCACGGTCCAGAAGCTGGGCTGTAGTTAGGACTCCTATTACAAAGGAAGAAGGAATTAAAAGGGTATTCTGGTCCAGGTTAGGATCCCAGTTGTTCCAGCACTCGCAGCTTCAGTGTAGCATCACAGCATACACTGTGCCCAAGGTAAACACCTTGAGGACCATAGGTTGCCTAGTAAAGCACCATAGTAATGTGGTATCTCAGTATTGCCTTGCATGCGCACCCAAATATTACTGTGGGAAGCACAGTACAAGAAACCCCAGAGAACAGAAGTTACTGTACCTGTGATTTTATCCAATGCAAATGTTTTGTTTTCATTGCCTGAAAGAATGCGATATGTAACTTGTCCATTTCTTCCCTCATCGGGATCCTCTGCAATTATGCGGTGCACAGGGAAGCCCACCTCCACATCCTCCATGACATAGGAAACCGTCGAAGATGTAAAACTGGGACTGTTGTCATTGATATCCAAAATAACAATTTTCACAGCCTGGGAAGCAAGTTTGCGATCAGTCAGATTTATTGCCTGGTCTGTTGCAGACACTGTAAGGATGACATAGCGAGTAACCTCCCTGTCTAGTGGAAAAGCCGTGGTCAAGGTACCATATGAAGGGTGAATAAGAAATGGATTTTCACCCACGCTATTCATTTCCAGGGAATATTGTATTTTGCTGTTCAGAAAACTGCCATCGCCATCTTTTGCATTGAAGGTGTAAACCAGAGTGCCAACAGGTACATTTTCCTCTATGCTGATCACTACAAAGTCATCTTGAAAATACGGAGAATGATCATTCTGATCCTCTACATCGATACTCAGGAAGATGGTGTTATTCTGTGGAGGATTATTATTATAATCCTTTATAATAACTCGCAAAAGGAAATGTGAAGCTGTTTCATAGTCAAGTTCCTTGGAAAGAAAAAGGTCTCCTGTCAAGCTATCTATTTCAAAATGAACATCATCATCATCTTCAGCAATACTGTAATGAAGTTTCCTGTTAGTTGTCAGATGATTATCAGGCCACTTCAGAGAATTCAACACTTGTGCAGGTTTAAAATTTTCAGGTACAACCAAGTGCTTGAAATCTTGAGAGAAGTCAAATCTCCCATTGGGAAGCGGGATTACCTGTAACAAAAGCATAAAGACTGCAATATTTTCCCATTATTATTATGAATAGTGTGATGAAAATTGTTTTCTTTAATTGAGAGTTTAATCACTTATTACTTGTGACTATACTGATGTTTAGTATGCCTCAAAACCAGAAAACAAACTCAATGTACTCCGTAAGAGTTCAAATCGTCCTTGGCCAGTCCTTCTGTAAATGTAATATTTAATTCTCACATTATAAAAGGGACAAGATTGTCTCTCACCCTCAGAATCACAGAAGTCCAAAGACAGATGACTCGAACACTGCCATCTCTGCCCATACTCTGAAGCATTTCAACGGTATTTCTACATAGGGCAGCATCACAGGGACAGATGTGACAGAGAAAGCAGGGTACACCATGCAGTTTGCCAAATATAAACAGGTAGCTTGTGTTCATGAAAACAGCAGTCTCGGTGATGTGCAGCCTGTGATAAAGGAGTGCACAGGCAGCCTGGACAAAGCAGCCCCACTGCAGCTGGATGAACAGCAGGTGGCTGGCTGCAGAAAGAGCACACGCTGGATTTCACACTCCATACAGAGCACAAAGGAATGAGCTATTACACAGGGTTACAGAGACAGGATTTAGAAAAGAGAGTAACATAGTGGAGAAAAAAAAAAATGTATCTACTCTCTCCCCCACTTTCAGTCCCTCCTGATATTTGCTTTTCATTCTGCCTATGTGGATATTTTCCTTCTCTTTTCCAGTGTTCATAATGACTGCCCACCAAAGCACAAACATCACGTATTTGAAAGATAACCCAGAAAGCTGCTGTGTAAAACTACCACGAGACAAGGTGCTTATAATTCTGAACTTCTTTTCTTTAGCTTATTTCCCTAGATTCTCCCAAAATTGTTTTTTTCAAATAAACTAATTTTCTAGCATAACTGTTGTATCTGTACAACATAAACAAGTACCTGGATGTAAACAGCAGCATGTCCTTGAAGTGAAGGCATCCCCTGGTCCCTGGCTGTGACCATCATTTTGTAGTCTGATCTCTCAGCATGTGACAGAGAGTAGGTTGTTCTTAACTCCCCACAGACAGCATCAATCTGGAAGTATTCTATATCCTCTTCTGCAGGAAAAAAATGGATATCAGTTATTGCAGATCTCTTTAGCTTGCCTCCATAGTACTGAACATTGTAATTAGCAGTAAAAAAAAGCAGGACCCAGAGGAAAGGGAACCTGCTGCACTCATTTGGATCTCCCTGGCTCATTTGGTTCAACTCTTCTTCCTTCACCAAGTACGTAGTTATTATAAAGCTCATACTTTGTGTTTAGAAAGCTACAGAGAGAAACACTATGAAGTACTAAAGCAGTTCCTTGATTTTGTACCAACGTTATTCACACCAATGGTGTGTGCAGCCAGGAGAGCAGCAGACACACAGGTTGGCAGGCAGGGCCAGAGAAAGAATTAAATCTTATTTTCTGCACTGGCATGAAGGGTCAAGTAAATTATGCTAGCTGCACAGTTGGCTCATGTCCCTCAAGGACTACAGGTCAGCAAAGAGCCCCATCTACCCCTAAGACACCATAACTGCAGCGATGCCACCTGTCCTGCCTGTGCTCTGAACCAGGACCTAACTAGGGGTAGCTAAAATCTTACAGTAAATTCTTGCAGAGCAATATGTGAGTATTGGAAATTAAACTTTCATCCTTCATCAAGGACTGGCTGCATGCTAATAACAAGCAACTTCTAATTAAAATTACTACTTGTAGCTACGCCATATTACATTTAGCCTAGAGTTTCAAATAAAAATTCTACCACAGAAGACTAAATAGCTTTTTGTGACTTCGAATCACAGAATCAGTTAGGTTGGAAAAGACCTGTAAAATCATCAAGCCCCACCATTAACCTAACACTGCCAAGTCCACCACTAAACCACGTCCCCAAGCACCACATCTACACATTTTTTAAACACCTCCAGGGATGGTGACTCAACCACTTCCCTGGGCAGTCTGTTCCAATGCTTGACAGCCCTTTCGGTGAAGAAATCTTTCCTAATATCCAATCTAAACCTCCCTTGGCACAACTTGAGCCTGCTTTCGCTCATCCTATCACTTGTTACTTGGCAAAAAAAGATCAACACCCACCTCCCCCATTTTCAAGAAATGCAAATTACCCTCCAATTTTTACTAAAATAGGAAAGAATCTTTTACTCTGTATACCTCCCCAGAAACAGAAAATTGACTTTGTCATAACTGGTATACCTCATCAGAAACAGAAAATTGACTTTGTCATAACTACTTATTGTTTAAAATACTACGCAAACAACTGCTTGCTACGTAAATTTTTAGTAAGGTGTACAAGTGGGTTAGACAAGTCATACAGCGTAACAGCTGCTATTCCAATAGCAACTGTGGAAAAAATAAATTCAGTGCAGATGCGGTACACAAGACACCCATAAAGAACTGTATTTCCATAGGCATCTAAGTGAGCATGAACCTGTTTACGTTCTCCAAATCTGCACATGTAAATTAGCTAGCTGCACATACAGATGTTCATTTTTATATTCAATTGCCTTACCCGCAACTGTAAAATATTTTCACCTGTAGCATTTGAACAAACACTGAGGCGGCTAGTTAGAAAACAGGGTTTTCACAATCAACAAATAGGAGTTTTTTTCCGATATTATTCTGCTATTTCTGACTGACTACAGGTTTCTAATGCTCCATGAGTCCCTTCTGGGTTGACACATGAAGTCTGGAACATAACGAGGAAATGGACAACAAAAGGAAGCAATATGTAGAGACAATTATATTGAATGAGACAGTCCTGCATTCTGCATTTTTCATGATAGTTTAAAAATATTAATGCCGTTATGTTACTGTTTTCATAAATAGCTTTTTGTTACTTTCCAGGTTTAGGTCCCAACAGTATGCCTGCATTCACAGATATGCTATTTTGTTTCATATAATGTTTCATGACACAAAATCCCAGCTAAGCAAAAGGCAGAGGAGATATGAAAAACAGAACACATAATGTGAATTGCATGCATATATTTTTAACATTTTGCTAAAAACTGACATTTAAAATAACTGGTCAGGAGATCTAACAAGAAAAAACAGCAAACAGAAGTGCATGAGAACTATTCCCTTCCTGTTTCTACCAAAATGGAGCTCGTTACCAAACTGAACCAAAAACAAAGAGTAGTTTAAAAAAAGAAAGAAAAAAAAAGAGAGAACAAAAATATTGTAAGTACATAACTGTAATATGAGCAGGAGGCTATGAGGATTCACCCTTGCTTCAGCAGTGACAAGGACACTCAGACCCTCTTAGCATAAAGACCAATACTTGGTTTTCTGTTTCAAGTAGCAGAACATAGCTAAGCTCAACTGAAGCAGGTGTCAGTCCACAGAGCTTGTGAAGTGTTGAAGCTTATTTGATAGGAGAAAGGAACAGTCAGAATTTACATTTTTGAATAAAATAAGAGAGAGCTGGTAAAAAAAAAAAAAATTACCCATTGCGTTATTCACCAGACACTACAATTCCACTAAAATCCAAATATTGCATGAAACGGTTGGTTTTGCGCATATTTTGGTGGTGATAAAAGTAACAGAAAAGTCTGATAATGTTGGAAAAAGATACTGTATAAAACCAGAACCCCTTGGTACTTCCATTTTGCAAGAGTTCCTCATTTTCATCTTTTTATCTGGTACTGCACAATAAAGACAGTCAAAACTGAAACATCTTATTTCTATTTTGCTGGGTTTTTTATCAGTCTATTTTTTAGTTTATTCATGGACAATTTCAAAGTGCAGCCATTTGATTCCAAATAAAAAAAAAAAAACAACTTTCAAGAAGAAAAATCCTTATGAAATGGATTTCCCCTAATCTACAGACAGATTAGTCAAAATTTTATACTGTACTTTGTAGCAAAAGCATTTTTTTCCATTTCTGAATTTCAAAAGCCTACCTGAAGACAGATCTTGCTTTTCAACCGATTTAATAGATAACATGTGCTAAAAGAACAGACAGACCACTTTTGGTGGTCATACTTTTGCCCACGATTACCGAAGGCAAGTGCACATGAGCAGCAGCTCGCTCACTTTCTAAATACACACCAAGTCCTCCTCCTTGTTATTTTCAAAGTGAGGAATAAGGAAAAAGGGGGTTTTAAGTTTTACACTCAAAGAGCATGCCAGTTATTGCTCTAAAAGCTCATGCTCCCTGCACTTCCAGAAATTTATCTCCACAAACTGACTTAATTAGGAAATTGCTGCTTATACCATACAACCTGAAGATGTCTCTTTATATATGAAGAGAAAAAAAGAAAGAGAAATGGATAAGAAAGAAGGACCTTGAGAAGAGCAGATGAAGCATGGAACAGAAAAAAAATTATCCCTTGATGACCAGACTCCAATGGCCCCAACTCTTCTTGTGCTTGCAACTCTACCCTAACCTGACGGTAAACTGATAAACATTTTGACTGAAGTTTTCTACCTCTGCATTGTCTAACCTGTTGACCAGGCTTTCATTTACATTACGTTCTTCAAAGCCCAGGCACTTTCTCAACTCTGTGTTCACAAATATAATCACAGAAACTGCAGTTTTGGACAAAAAAGATGACTTGAGAAACCCCAGGCACTGTGTGGCTGTGAACTTTGGCAGAACATTCAAGCATTCCAGGGACTGGCATCCAGGCAAAATGGTCCAAAAAGCAGACAAAGCAATACTAGAGTTTTCTCAGATTTTCGTGACCTCCATATGCAGTGACAGCTACATATTTCTACCTAACTTCCTGAAAAACTGTATCTTTCCTAGGGTTTAAAATACTTAGTGCCTTGGCCATCTCATTCTCCTTTGAGATGAAAGAAAAGTTGTTTCTCTTAACAGAAAAGAGGAAGGCAGTGCCATGGCTCCCAAAGAGCTTGAGCACCATGGGGCTGCTGCAGAAATGCAGCCTTCTGCAAGTCTAGGAATGCTGCCTGCAAATCACCCTGGAGAACAAGTACTTGTCTACAGACATACAAACAACACTTGCCAACTCATGCGTGCTAATGTATCCGTAGGTCCAAATATAACTGTAAAAGCCTCTACTTTGCCAGTGCTAGTTTTAACACACAAAGCAATAGTTCACGATGCACTCGAAATACAGACTGATTTTTTTAATAAATGCTACGTTATAACCTACTGACAGTCATAAAGAAGGCCAGGCAAATCACTTTGCAATTGCCAGCATCAGCAAGGAATAGCACACATAGCTGGGACCACCTCCTTCTGAATTAGGTGACTCTTTCAGCGATCATACAGAAGTGGAGGTGCAGCCATATGATCATATATTTACATACACATGAATGTCTCAGGATGATTTGGTTTGATTTTCTGGGAAGAAGGAGGGGCATTTTGAAGGAAACATCTCCTCTGAAGGCTAAAATTTCTTTTACAGATTTTTCCTTACATAATTTGTTGGCATTTGTCATTAGCCCTCCTGCATAGCTTCATCTTTTGCTGCTATCCTGGCACTTCTTTACGGTCTCAAGAACATTGAAAATTACCAAGTGACTCTTACAAGCTGGACAGCTGACACCAACACTCATTGCTCTTAATCTTGTGGCAGTCCCTCAACTGTTGAAAAGAGCACTGGTCTGCATGCAGTCCTCCAATTAACCTGATGTCTTTATGTTTAACAAATACAGCTGTAAATAAGATCATATTTCTTCTTCATATTTTAGTACTGAACAATGTCCCAGAACTAGAAAACACTATTTTAAATATAAACCAGTCAAGAACTTCACCATGAAACAGAAGACCAGATGTTAAAGGCTGCAAGCCAACTGAAAACAACAACAAAAATTAGTATCAGAGAACCTCAGCTGTTTCTGGATTTGTTTATCATGGAAATACCTAGTTCCAAGGCTGGGAGGGCTCTTTTAGGGTTTTTGTTTTGCTGCTGTTTTTATCCTTTTGTTCTTTCTAGAGACAGCATTTGCAAGACCAGTCATATTTTGTGTTGCTAGTAATTTTTATAATTTGAACTCTTACTTACTCCCCTCTGGGGCTCTACACTGAAGCCAGTAAGAAAATCCAATGTGCTGTTTGAAGGAAGGCGATATAGTCAGATATACAGACAGGCAGAGACTCCTGAAGAACACTGCCTGGGTTGCCTGGCCATCATAAGGGTTGGGTGCTACACATTCCCTTTTTCTTAAGGGGGATTACTATGTGCAAAATCTTATTATTCACAATGTAGATGTCTACGATTCTCTCAAGAGGTGGTCACTTGTATCCAAATTAAGGCAATAAAAGTATGGCCATAAACCAGCCTTTCAGACTTTTATTATCTACATATTTCAACAGCAAAATTTTCAATAGAGTTGTTAAGTGTCTCATTCTTTTAAGCATCTCTTGGTGGAAGAGAGTGGAGTTAGTTCTCTTGCCCTTGTGGATTTGGATCTCAAAGTCCTTCCATTACCCCACAGAAGCCAAAAGGTTACATAAAGACACAGTACAACATAATCCACAGGAATATTTTGGGAATTTCAGCCTTGGCAAAAAAGAGACTACAGATTCCCTTGCACTTTAAGAGCGAGCAGTAATGTAGCTTTGCAGTATTTTGTTCTTTACTCTGCTGTGACAAATAATTGGAATGAGTTTAAACCAACCAAGCTCACATTTGAGCTCAGTCTACACAGAAAAGAACACCTGAGGAAACATACTGAGCGGATGGCAATAGTGGAAATTTTTTCTTGCTCTGATGAAGCAGTATGCTTTACGTGCAAAGGACCACAGACTGTGAATACCAAGCTTAAAAGGTATTGATTACATTAAGAAACAGTTCTGTTCTTGTCACCTCTTGCTGTTTTGAACCAATAATAAACTAAAGCAGGAGGAACAGACATATTTTCCTCACTGCTTACAGACGGAGTTCTCTCTTGCATAAAAGTGTAGCAAGTGGTATGTGGCAAAACCAGATCACAAAGAACTACAGAATGGTTTGGGTTGGGAAGGACCTTAAAGATCATCAAGTTCCAACCCCCCTGCCATGGGCAGGGACACCCTCCACTAGACCAGGTTGCTCAAAGCCTCATCTAGCCTGGCCTTGAACACCTCTGGTCAACCTGTTCTAGTGCTTCACCACCCTCA